CTTAATACACTAGAAAGGGGAAATAAAAGTACACAAGTCCAAGTCTAAAACTTTAGTACTTTTCCATGCAGATTTGTGCACATGTGAGAGGGTGTCCAGTTTGTCTCGTGATTGTTCTTTAGAGAGTTGGACCACTATTGTGTGTTGCTAATCATTGACTGTAGTCCCAAAAAAGCCTTGTGAAAATGTTATGCCCTATGTTAACAGCAGAGTAACAAAATAAAATTACATTTTATAAAACCATTTACTATGACTTTGTAACAATTGCATTACCCGTATTAGGCGAATTTACTACTTTCTGAAGTTGATTGATACTTCCCTTTTATCTTATGTAAAATGTAGTAGTGATACCCATATTTCTGCATTGTGGTACACTCTTCTGGGGGTTCCTGGAAATGTGTAAAATTGGACTACAATTTCTTAGTGTTTTACCATAAATCAGTCTCATGGTCCTTCTCTTCCTCAGATGTAAATGATATCTGGCTAAGTGTTATGGAATAAAGTGGACATTTTAAAACTAGAAAACCTAATTATTTGATTGTGAGTGCCTTGGATGGTGTTAGAATTGTGCTTCAGATATTTTAAGAGGTAAAGAGTACCTTGTTTAGTTTTTCAGAAATATTTTTGTAAACTTTGATTACTAACCTGTCTTTATTGGTTTGAGAACTGATATTTTTAAGTCAGAAAATAATCTAAAAAGTTAATACTGTAGAATTTGTCCTTTATTTCCTAAAATTTGATTATGAAGTAAGACTTATTTACACTTTTTTTTGYGAGGGGAAATGAAAGGCAGAATTCAACAGCATTTGGGTAGTACCCATTTAAGTGTGGTTGGGTTGGAAGAATAGCTTGGTGGTAGGGCATTTGCTCAGCATCCAAAAGGCCCTGGGTGTGATTCCCAGCATCTCAAAAAAAGGTTAATAGTACTTGGTTTCCCCCCAATTTAAGTCAGTATGATGTTACTACTTTTAAATAAGAAGATGGGAAGAACACTTAGGATTTGGGAGACTGTCCTAAACACAAGGTGGCAAGTGAAGTGGTGAGTAAAGCACTAGGCGGTGACTTGCCAAGCAGCTCCTTCTTGCTGTAGGACTGTTTTAAAACTGGCCTGTCTCTGGTTTCTCCTTCGTCCCTCTGCCTTGTGGGCCTCCTTTGCACTAGATAAAGAGTATACCTATATACTACCACCAAGAACTCTGTAGGAGAGAGGACACCTTTCCTCAGGAGAAAGAGATAAGTAAACAATTTGGAGTGAGGTCCCCCGTAGTAACCACTGATCCTTTTTTTTTTTTTTTAAACAACTTTTAATTTGTTATAACCATATGATCTTTCTTACTGTTTCTCTAGTTTTACCTTTTTCAGAACAACAAATAGTGGAATAACAAGATACTTATCATTTTCGGAGTGACTGTTTTCATTTATTAATATGCATTTAAGAATCCTTTAGCCAARTGCAGAAGTGCATACCTGTAATCCCAGGGCTCGGGAGGTTGGGGCAGGAGGATTGAAAGTTCAAGACCAGCCTCAGCGATTTAGTGAGGCCCTGGGCAACTTGGTGAGACCCTTAATCAGTAAAGATCTGTCTTTTTTTTTTTTTTGTAGTGAGAAATATTAGAAAGGCCGTTAAAAATGTGTAAGAATTCTCTAGGCAGGATAGTGTCCACCCATGATCCCAGAGACTCAGGAAGCTGAGGCAAGAGAATTGCAAGTTCAAGACAAGCCTCAACAACCTAGCAAGACCCTATCTCAAAAATAATACAGACTACAGATGTAGCTCGGTGGTGACACACCTCCTGGGTTCAATCCCCAGAACAAAAAATGAAAAGAATTCTAATTGAAGTATAAAATTTTGAGAAGATGAGAATTTTAGTTGCTTATCTKAAAATGGACTGGTTTTTAAGGAGTTGAGCCAATTTTTCCAAACTACTAGAAGGGTCTCTTATAGGCACATTTTTCCCCCMAAATTATCTTGTTCTGATTGTATGTATCATTTGAGATACAAACAAATTGGGGGGACACTGGGGACTGAACCCAAGGCACTTTACCACTGAGTTACATCCCCAGCCCTTTATTTTCTATTCCGAGACAGATCTGAGTTGCTGATTCTGACCTCAAACTTATCCTCCAGCCTCAGCTTCCCAGGTCACTGGGATTATAGACTGTGTTGCTGTGTTCATCTCTTCTGGTATATTTCTAAACTAATACTTCATTCTGTGATGTAGCAAGGTTTTCATTTTCAACTCAGAAGGCAGTTATTTTGTGTGTTCTGCCATGTGTGTCATCTTCCCATGAGTAACGTGCATTTGATCAACTCTGTCTTCTCTGGAATTAATATTATTTGCTAAAGGAGAATTTTTAGGTATTATGTGTAATACCTATGTGTAATTGAGCATATTACAATTAAACRTAAGCTATTTACTGCAATAACCATTTTTGTTCTATTCAGTAGGTGCTTAAGAAGGTAGTCCTGAAAGTGTGAAGATAGATGAAATCCAGTTTGGAAGAAACTTACATTTACTATTTAACCACTTTAAAATCACCATGACTTTAGAGCGCTAATGCTAGATAATAAGTACCCAGGGGGAAAACCTGGAGACTGCCCTACCTCAAGATTATGTGAACATGTATGTAAATGGTCTTTGAACATGTATGTAAATGGTCCAGCCCTTTTATTTTAGGTATAGGGAACCAACATTGAATTCATTCTGGTGCCTGGTTGTGTATATTCATACTTAATCCTCTAAAGAGCCCTCAACTGGTAGTAGTATGTCTCATCAGAAATAATAAATTTGTACAGTGTATGTGTGTGTGTGTATGTGTGTGTGTGTGAGAGAGAGAGAGAGAGAGAGAAGGGACAAGCCTAGAGATTGAATTTGACACCACATCAAGTTTTTATGTCACTATTTCCTGTGTGGTGCCTTAACTTCCTTATTAAGGCATAAAATTTGATTATTTATCCTTTGTTTTTCATTTCTATCATTTGGAGGTGGTTTTTGTCTTTTTTCCTTTGTCAGTTTTTTTCCTTTGGGGAAA